TACCACTTGAAATTTTAGTGGTTACACATTAACACACGGGCAGGTGGGAGCCAGTGGTCATGGGGAACTGGATTTTAAGCCATGAGCATTGGCTCCCACCTTCCCCCCTCCCCTCTGCTTCCTCTCTAGGAGGCAGAGGCTGCTTCATGGAAGCCATCTGTGCTGCCTCTGTGGGAGACAGGGGTGGAGGGGTTCAAGTAGCTCTGTAGGAGCCTGCACGCATGGGGGGATGGGTTAAAAGCTAGCTCCCCATGCATATCGGCCCCCCCCCCGCTGCTGCCTCTGATACAGAGACAGTGGGGGAAGGTAGCATGTGTCATCTATAAGATTAACCGATAAGCCCAGGCTTGACATCTCTAATATGTACTATGTAATAGATGATGGTTGGCTGCTTTTACTTCCTCTATAGGGGTAACAGGATTGTATGTGATATTAGCAGTAAGCATTTGTGCCCAGGAAGTGGCTGACTTTGGGAAGGTAGGAGTGTAATGAGACTGGAATAGAGGCTGTGGCTAAGGGAGATTTTGATGCCTTTAAATAAGAGTAGTTGGTTTAAAAAAAATAGAAACAGGAAATTGTAGCAAGTTCAGTAGCAGTGGGTGATAGATAAGGATTGAGGCTGGGCAAGTATGGAGGCCCACGGTAGGGGAAAAAGTTATAAGGTAAGAAAGATATAAAAACAAAGGAAATATCTCATAAATAGGCTTTTTTTTTTAGCTTGCCTTAGTGTACCGCAGTTGTACGTCTGACTTGATATCCCCACTTCACCCTCACCCCCCTTTGGGTCTGTTTCTTATTGGGCTGTAAGCTCTTCAGGGCAGGGACAGTCTTTCTGTGGCCATACAATACATGAGGCATATTGGATGCTGCTACAAGCAAATAATGAAGAACAGTAATAATCTGCTGTTACAATGTAGATTGCTTATTCCACTTTGTTTTTCAGTCGTAGTATCATTGTAACACTTTTAATAATTCAAAGGTGTTAGGGAGGCAAATAGCTGCCACTATCTTGGTTTCTTTCCATCACTGTATGTGTTTCCTTCCCGGTAGGTCTGTTGGTTACCTAGGAAACAGGAACAGGGTAGCATTTGATTGGCTATGTTAAAAGAGTTGGAGTTGAGTGTAGTTTTAAGTAGCAAGAGAGAGAGATCTTCACAAATATGAAATGCTTGATTTTTTTTTTTTATGAGACTGGAAAAACTGCATTGAATATAGTCAAGCTTTGCACTCAAAAATGTTTGCAGAAGAGTATTTTTGTAAATGATTCAGGTGAATGTTTTGGCATAAATACGCTGTTAGAAAATGAAATGTTTCTGTTGGACTGCATAGTTGGGGACAGTGCATAGGTAGCTACAGGGTTATGAAATCTTTCCTCTCTAGGTTAATGGTTTAAACTGAGTTCAAGCCAGTAGCTACTGACTTGTTACCTTCTGAAGGCTGGTTGACCTATGTGAAAGGAGTTGGCAGTTTCAGTTTAGTTCCTGGATCATATACCACTTCCAGGACTGGCACTAGTTGATGCTCTTGCTGGAAGTCTTAGCAGAGAGCCTGGGGTTAGACATGGTATGGAAACAGTTTCTTTCCCATCCCTTGAAGTGGTCCTTCTAGTTCATGATCTATTAGTTGGCAATGTGAGGGTAGAGGGCCCTATTACTGTGCTGTATCTATTCTGTGGCTAAATAGGGTTACTGCTCCCACAGCTGTTTAATCCAGCACCTTTGACCAGTAACTGAACTTCCAGCTATTTTGCTATAACTGTTACTCTCTGACACATGCCTTTTCATTCTATATATTAAAATAGAACTCCACTCCAAATAATGAAGCAATTACTTGGACCACAGGGTCGTTTTCTAGCTACACATGGAGTCAGTGTTGTGCAGATATCTGTGTAAAACTGCATTTAGTCCAGTATTTTTGCCTTGTCCCACATCTCGTCAGGGGGCTATGAAAAGCTAAGTTAGTATGTCAGGCAGCTGCTAGGTATCAATTTGCCTGTTTGCATTAGGCGCACAGCTGAAATGATTGAACACAACATGTAGAAATGTTTTTGTGTTGAATACTTTGACAGATATTCACTGTTGTCCTTTGGCATGTGTATGCATATGTAAATCAGTTGCGATAGTGATTGCAAATGAGATAATTTACGAGACTCTAAGGCATTTGACAATTCACTAGGGGCTCAGTTGTGCTCCTGTTGAAGTCTGTTTTGGTTTATGTATCTATTTTGTGGTAGTGTCAAGGGTTAATGTTTGTAAAGAATTTTGAGGAGACTGCCACTAAGGATGTAAAACTGTTAAAAAGTTAAACATAATGTTTAACTGGTTAACCAGCATGGCAGGCTGCTCCAGTCCAGCTGTGCCTGCTACCTCACACTGTGCGTGGGAGGACTTCTCTGGCCAGGCTGGGCATCAGTTAATTGGTTAACTCTTTACATCCATAAAAGACACTATGAAAATGCTCTGTATTTTTTATCAAGCCCTTAAGAATGAAGTTAGGAAATCCAACACTCCTCCTGTAACAGATCTGGCCTGTGGGATGGATCCTGCCCACCGTACTGCAGCCTCAGGCCACTCAAAGTGCCTGGCTGCTCCATGTGCCTGTTTGCGCCACATATCAGGGAGGTAGGGTTATTAGTGTATAGTCATGTAGATGATTAATCGATAAATAAATATTGTGCCCATCTATAAAAAGGGGAATAAGAATAACCCAGGAAACTACAGACCAGTCAGTTTAACGTCTGTCCCAGGGAAGATAATGGAGCAGGTAATTAAGGAAATCATATGCAAACACTTGGAAGGTAATAAAGTGATAGGGAATAGCCAGCATGGGTTTGTGAAGAACAAGTCATGCCAAACTAATCTGATAGCTTTCTTTGATAGGATAACGAGCCTTGTGGATAAGGGAGAAGCGGTGGATGTCATATACCTAGACTTTAGTAAGGCATTTGATACGGTCTCGCATGATATTCTTATTGATAAACTAGGCAAATATAACTTAGATAGGGCCACGATAAGGTGGGGGCATAATTGGCTGGATAACCGTAATCAGAGGGTTGTTGTTAACGGGGCTAAATCCTGCTGGAAAGGGATAACAAGTGGAGTTCCTCAAGGGTCTGTTTTGGGACCCGTACTGTTCAATATTTTCATCAATGATGTAGATATTGGGATAGAGAGTATGCTTATTAAGTTTGCAGATGATACCAAACTGGGTGGGGTTGCAACTTCTTTGGAGGATAGGGACATAATTCAAAATGACCTTAGCAAGTTAGAGAAATGGTCAGAGGTAAACAGGATGAGGTTTAATAAAGAGAAATGCATAGTGCTCCACTTAGGAAGGAACAATCAGTTCCATTCATACAAGATGGGAAGCGACTGTCTAGGAAGGAGCATGGCGGAAAGGGAGCTAGGGGTCATAGTGGACCACAAGTTGAATATGAGTCAACAGTGTGATGCTGTTGCAAAAAAAGCAAATATGATTCTAGCTTGTATCAACAGGTGTGTTGTAAGCAAAACTCGTGAAGTCATTCTGCCGCTCTACTCTGCACTAGTTGGGCCTCAGCTGGATACTGTGTCCAGTTCTGGGCGCCACATTTCAAGAAAGATGTGGAGAAATTGGAAAGGGTACAGAGAAGAGCGACGAGAATGATTAAAGGTTTAGAGAACATGACCTATGAAGCCAGGCTTCATGAACTGGGCTAGTTTAGTTTGGAAAAAAGAAGATTAAGGGGAGACATGATAGCCGTTTTCAAATATCTAAAAGGATGTCACAAGGAGGAAGGAGAAAATTTGTTCCTCTTGGTTTCTGAGGACAGGAGAAGGAGTAATGGGCTTAAAGTGCAGCAGGGGAGGTTTAGATTGGACATTAGGAAAAAATTCCTAACTGTCAGGGTGGTCAAATATTGGAATAAATTGCCAAGGGAGGTGGTGGAATCTCCCTCTCTGGAGATATTTAAGAACAGGTTAGATAGACATCTGTCAGGGATGGTGCAGACGGAGCTTGGTCCTGCCTTGAGGGCGGGGGGCTGGACTCGATGACCTCTTGAGGTCCCTTCCAGTCCTATTATTCTATCTAAAGAGTAGTTGGCTAGTCCAGTGTCCCAGGTCCCAGTGTCCCTTCCTTCATCCAAACTCCTTCCCAGACCCCACTCTCCCTCCTGCATGCCAATCCCTTACCCCAAGCTCCCTTCTGCACCCAACCTCCATCCCAGACCCTGCACTTCTTCCATTAATATCATGGAAGAGTTCAGCCCTCAACCACTTTCCAAAATCTTGAGTGCCCCCCCCCCCCCAATCAAAAATGATTCTCCACCCCTGCTGCAGGTTGCGGCACACCATTAGGATATTTATAATAATTAGACCTATTATTTTGCATTCTGTGTATTGAACAGATTGAAGTGACCTTTAAATCTGATACTATAGAAAGCGTCGTATGTATTTAATAACTTGCTTGCTTAACTGTTAAAAGAACCGACCTAGCCCTCTTGCATAAAAAGTCTGAAAGGGATATTCTCAAAGACATTCTAACTATGATGTAGATGCATACACACACTGTGTCTTACTGAAGTCAACGTGAATTTACAGGTGTAGAGAAACACTTCCCTTGTGTTACTTTTCCAAATATTATGCTCAGGAAAATGGGTGCAGTGCTAGACCGGCTGACTCTCAGGGGATTCCTGAGAGAAGAGTCTCATTTCCCACCTCCCTCCTTGCTTGGCAGGAGGAAATTAGAGGAGTGCTGGGGGAATCTCTCCCAAATGGTAGAAACTGGGAAAGAGGTAGAGCCGTGTCCTGAGTGACCCTCTCCCTTCCTCCAGTCATCACGCCAGCTGATGTTGAATTACATTGACAGACTCCATATGAGAGCCACAGCCACACTCTGGCTAGACTGAGACTTGGTATGACACTGAGCCCTTCAATGATGACGAAAGATGAGGACATCTCACTCACAGTTTTGCTTTGGAAAAGTAAATCCTGCGAAGACTTACTTCTCTGTATTTTCAGGTGCACTCACAGTTGGCCTTGTGCAACAGTGTCAAACCATCCATGGACGTGACAGGACCTGTATTCCTCCACGGCTGCCTCCTGAATGGGTCACCACATTATTTTTCATCATTATGGGAATCATTTCACTGACTGTCACATGTGGCTTGCTAGTGGCTTCCCACTGGCGAAGAGAAGCTACTAAATATGCCCGCTGGATAGCATTCACTGGAAGTAAGTGACTTCAGCTACAGCGTAAGCCTGTCTGAAGGATGAACTGGTAGAATTTTTTTTTTTAAACAAATCTGGGTGGGGATTGTTGTCAGAGACGAGTGGTAAAACTGCCCTAATCAAACAGAATGTTTTTCCTTTTAAATTCCTGCTTTGTGGAAATAATCCTCTTCTTTAAAATCAAGGGTTTGGTATCCAGAAGTGGCTGAGAATCATGGGAAGATCTTTGGGATCCTGGCTTTATAGTCACAGTGCTGATCACCTGCTGCAGCCCCAGGGTAGAGGAAGAAAGAAGTACACCTCCGGATCATGGTAGCCTCCAGCCCCTCTCCCCCTGGGGAATGTCACAAATTGGCCCAAAGGGAAATGGGTGGGAAAGGTTAGACTGTTCCTGAGACATATGATCTCTAATTTGGCTGATGTGGCTGGTACTCACTTCTTGCTGGCTAGAATAATGGAGCGATTGAGACTTTTTCCCCCCCAAGTAGAGCAGGGTATTGGTCGACCTGGAACTCATTATTGCCCTGAAAACCAGCCCTACTGAAGTATCCTTCTGTGAACACCTGATGCAGGGTTGATGTTAGCTCTATTTTGTTGCAATTCTCTTGAAAGTTGTTTTGTGATGAGGTTCACAGTTCCATGACATTGGGTACATGTACACTTGGGAGTATGCAAAGGTCTTCCCAAGGGCACATCATCTCATCTAAATATTTGCTTAATTTTACAACAGTCTACAGGAAAATAGAACTAGAGAAATCAGTACAAACTAAAATGTTATACAGGCGGTGCCTTTCTCTGCTGTTTTATATACTTCTCGACCTGTGGGTGGTGGGATGGATTTAGGCGGTTGGCAAATGCAGGGTTGGCATTAGGACAGTATTTCTCAAATGTGGCCAGCAGGGGCTTTTCTTGTGGCCACAGCCTCCTGGGCTGTGATGGGGGCTGGAAAGGAAAAAGTAGTGTCCCATCACACTACTTGGTGCTCCTTGGTGTTGGTTTCTTGGCTTCCAGTTGGGCTCTGCCGTATTCTGGAGACATCTTGGGCAAAGTGCTGGAGCAGCAGGCAGCTGGGGAGTTCCCCACTTTTCAGAGGTAGTGGGGCTCAGGCTTTGGTCTTCCACCCAGGAGTGGCATGGAAAGCAGGCACTCGCTTTGGGCTCCAACCCCCGGGTCCAGCCATGTAACTTTGGGTTCTCTCCCCTAGCCATGGGGCATCAGGCTTCATCACCCCTCCCCCCTTCTGTCTTTCCTGATTCTTCATTTAGGGCTTGATTTGTTCCCAGACTTGCCAGTACTGAGTAAGTCTGCTGTGAAAAGCAATACTTCTTTTGATGGATTCAATCACAGAGATTCCCTTGAGACTGTCACTTGATGTGCTAAAATACCACTGAGCCGACCTGCCTGCCTGCTGGAATGCCCCATCACCCTCAGATCCTCTGGTCTCCTCCAGTGATGGCATAGAGTTGGAATCACAGCCCATAGTAGAGCAGCACAGACACTGAGATCAGATCAGCAATGGGAAGGCTCAATCAGACAGACTTGACACAGCACCCACATGCACAGTATCAGTAGGACCAAAAGCCCAGATAAATCCATTTCACACTGTATAAAGTTTATACAAAGCAAGCTCATAAATTATACAGCCCTTTTATCAATTAGAGAGAGATGCATAGCTGTTGGTCCCCCTCAAGTAATTACACTTCTCTGTAGCCAAAATGCTTCTGAAATAAATGTAGTCAAACGTTACTAATTCTGGGTCACTGAGAACGAAAATGATGCTTAAAATTATTGATTGGCTCTAGTTTTCAAGATTGGGTCAGTATATACGACCCTTGACTTGCGAATGGTGGAGGATAAGTGAGTTATAAAGGGAAGGGATCTCAATTTAAACCAGAAATGACTAAAATACATCTTTGACTGGATCTATGAATAAATCTATGACTGGATTTGGACAGTACTTGCTTTTTAGGCAAAACCATGAATGATGCAATCTGAAGCTGGTATTGCATCATACATTATATGAATTGCATCATGTTATTCCTAGAAGTCATGGATGATGCAATCATAACGAAGTTTACATCACTCTGCTGAACAAATTGCCCTATATCAGCTCTAGATATCATACAGTGTCGTGCACTCTTATTCGTCAGTGTTTGATTTTGCAAAGGGACACATTTCTGTTTAGCCAAAGTGAGCAGAGATGCCTCGTACTTATGTGAACAGTGCAGATAACTTCTGCTATGTTTGTGGTGAAGTGACTTTTGCATCAGAAAAGCACACTATAACCACTATGGTTAAGAAAGCCTATCACCTTTATTTTGGCTGCAAAATTGGAGATCAGGACAAGAGGTGGGCCCCACACATATGCTGCAACACTTGTGCAACAAATCTTCGCCAGTGGTTGAACAGGAAAAGGAAATCTATGCCTTTTGCAGTGCCAATGATTTGGAGAGAGCCAACAGATCATACCAGCAATTGTTACTTCTGCATGGTGCCTCCAGTTGGGAAAGGTGTGTCAAAGAAGAAAAAGTGGACTGTGCATTATCCAAACATTCCATCAGCTATACGCCCAGTACCCCACGGAGAAGGACTGCCGGTTCCTGATGCACTTGAATCAGACGAGGAAGAGGATGAAACTTCTATGCATCTAGATTTCTTTTCTTCCTTTTCACGTCTCTTGTTTTTAATTTTGCAAACAAAAAAACTATTGCTAAAATGTGACATTACGATAGAACTATCAGGCACTTGAAAGTGAGGAAGTTCCAGTTACTTCTGCAGTATTAATTCAGTTATGTTTCATGTCCTCCATTTTTTTGCTATTCTTTCATAGTGGAAGTGAACTTATTTTAAATCAAGAGAGAATGAAGATATTGTGTCCATGTAATGTAGTAGAGTTAATGTAGGAGAAATGGTGTGTGAGAGAGAGTGTACATGCACATACTCACCATTTAGAAGGAATATTTTTTATAATACCCTCCATATTGATGCCTAAATTTTGAGTGCTTGATATTTCAGTTTTAATGTTAATTATTGCTTAATTTTTGTTCTTAATTTTTTTAAATGAGTATTTTAACAGAAGCAGAGATTAAAACTAATAAACTTTGTGTATAACTAGAACCGTGTGCAGATACAAACATTTTTCACATCCGTATCTAGAAAAATGAGCTGCAGATACCCATATCCATATCTGCTGATGCAGATATCTGGGAATATATCTGCAAATTTTCAGGGTTCTAGATTTGTATTTTTAGTTGCAAAAATGAACTGTGGATATCTGTGGATTTGCGGGACTCTATCACAGCAAAATCAGTATTGGGAATCTCAACTTTTATCCAGTATAGAACTAATACATTTCAGTGGGCCCCAATGAGCCACAGATGTGGTTTGGTTCTTCAAAAGTAAGTCTCGAACCCAATTTTTCTCCTTTGAGGGAGAATTAGACACTTCAGTGGAGTTACTTTATAGTAGTGTCCAATAACAAGGCCCCCAACTCCATCAGTAATTGCACCAACATTTGACTTCCTCTAATCACTTCTGATTAATTCAAAGTCAGATTTTAGGATGCTTAGTTAACATTTTCATCTTAAGTAAGACAAGGGATCCTGCTAGTTTTTTGTGTAGTCTCAAACAAAATTACAGATAAAACACTCATTATTAGAAGTCTGCCAGTCATTTAACTAGTTTATCCAAAGTAAATGATACCTGTACAAGTGGACAGAGGAAAATGAATGGTTGAAAATGGGGGAAAGATTTTTGAGTAATTTTCCTTGAGGAATAGATTAAAGTAAATTTCTAAGAAAAGTAAAACAAAACACAACAGCTAAGCCTAGTACTCCTATTTAAAAAAAAAAAATACACCCTAACAGTAAGGTATAAAAATCTAATAATCTTTTCTCTCGAGCTGGGTGGCCTCCCAACTTGAGCTTGATCCTTCTTAATGTTCAGTTCCAGGTGGTTGCAGCAGACATTTTAGATAGTAATCTGGAGTGTCTTGGTGTCTGGCTTCCCCCTTTGTTTTGTTTCCCACTGTTATATTCCTGTTGCCGAAGTCAGGAATCCTTTGTTTTCAGTTTAAATTTTTTACACTTCCAGTGGCAAAGTACAGCATCCAAAATGGGTTCCAAATTGAGATGACCTGACTGTGGATGGCATGTAGCCCAGGCTTACAGGAAAGTAAGACTATTTACAGATTATTGTTCCAAGTACCGGGCCATTAAACTCCTATAGTACTACTAATGGCTTTCACTTAGCCTATCTAGTACACAGGTTTATACTTCATATTTCTTTCTTCAAATACTGGAATGCTACATGCACATAAATAGAATATACACATTGCACAGATTATAGCTTAAGTGATAATGTTACATGAAATATTTTGCATAAAGCATATTCAAGTTATGTCATTCTTATTCATAAGCATATATCCAGAAATAATATGGGATGCAACATCACACATTTGTTATCGCTTTTCATAGCAGACATACTAGCTAGCAATAAACAAGTTACTATGATTGGAATGTGCATTTGTGCATATGTATGTGTTTTTCCTAAAGGTAAAGAAAGAGTTGGTGGCCACACACTGAGGCCACCAAACAATTTGTCCTCAGAACCCCTGCATTAGGTGATGGCAAGCAGGGTCCCCATGAAGCTAAAATACATTTTGAAGCCAAAGCCTGAGCCCCATCACCTGGGACTGGAGTCAGACTCCTCATAGGGTACAGTAGTCTGAAAAGGTTGTGAATCACTGTTCTACGCATCTTTGGAAGCAGACCATACCTGTCAGTCAGTTAGTGGAGGTAAAACTTCGTCTCCGAGAAACTGCCAGTTTCCATTTGCATCGCCAGCTTCAGGCAGGCAGACTACCACACACCTCAGCAAAGCAAATTTAGGGAAAAAGAAAAGGTGAAACAAATTATGTAAACACTTCAGGATCTGCTTTTATTGACACACAGGATTCTCTTTCTACTCAATCACTGGAGGATGCAGTGTTACTGTGCACCCACATGTAGTACGGCATGGCAGAGAAGGCTAAGAGGATAAATCTGACACATCTCCTTGTACTTCCCCTCTGATTAGGAGGCAGAGGCAAGGTTTCCTTCAGTCTCTCTCTCTCTCTCTCTCTCTCTCTCTCTCTAAGCAGATGAGCTTCCTGGATGAGCTTTTGCAGCTCATCTGCAAAAATCCCTGAACCTGGTACACATGACAGGACAGTATTTGCCCTTGGTATAGGCAAGTGTCAGCCCCTTCTTCCCTCCTTCCCCCAAACTTGGGGTGAATGTAGACTGAACCACAGTATCAGAGGGCCAAAGAAACTTCACACCCAACCACTGAAGCCCACATTCACAGCCATCTGTTGATAATGCAGCAGCTACCTGGCTCATTCCCTTTACTGCTGCTGCAACGGAGAGCTACTGGCAGGGATCTAGACACAAAGCAAGGAGAACCTGGTAAGTGGCTTCATGCCCAACTCCTCCATCTATTCTGCAGCTCACCCCTCTCACCAAGCCCTGCAATGATTCAGGGCTATTTCCTGCCTGCAGTGTAAGCTCAGTGCAGCAGATGGGCCAAGGACTCACTTTGAATGACTTAGGCTGGCCATGGATTCCAGGCTTCAACCTATCTCCAGGTCACATCCAGAAATCTCATTTCAACAAAGCATGGAACCCCAGGAAACTGCCTTTGGGACTTAGTCCAGCAAAAACTCCTCTCTGGACAACAAAACTACTCAAAAGAGGTAACCACAACATCCACTGCCAGTCAGACCATCAGTCTAAAATAATCCTCAGCAGAAGGAGAGAAACACAGGCAGGCATAAAAAAGATATTTAGATCCATCTGGTCATTCCAACATAAAACACAATCTCTCCCCCTTCATTTTCTGAAAAGTGATTTAGGGGATTCCTCTAGGAAGCACTCTAAGCATGCGTCTACACAGCAACCTTAAACTCGAAATAAGATACACAATTTGTGCTTTGCAAATTGCATATCTTATTTGAAAACTATTTCAAAATGTGGTGCATCTACACAGGACCAAATTTCAAATTAACACACTATTTCGAGCCATCCCATATCCCTCGTGCAATGAGGTTTACCAGGATGGCAAAATAGCACGGCCATTATTTCGAAAAATATTTCAAAATAACAAGCAGGCTTGTGTAGACGCAGGTAGCTATTTCAGGATACTTCCCCCAAACTGCATATATCTGCAGAATGCAGCAGGACATTTAATCCTTAGTATCTGGAGTCCATGGAGTGCGGCAAGGCAGAAATCCTAGGCACTTAGTTCCCCAGAGTCTCACAGAGTACAGGCCAGGGGATAATCAGTGCTGGATTCCCCCTTCACCCTCCCAGAGTGCAGTACGGCAAGTCAGTGAACTCTGTGGACACATGCTATTTCCTGTAGCCATGCATACACGCAACCCCACAAAGTAAATCTTTTTTATGGGAAGAAGAACAGTACTTCAAATCATATCTACAGACTCAAATAATATAATTATTAAAATAAAAAATCCACCTCTCAAGAACAGACTTTGATACAAAGTGTATTGAGGATGGTGATCTACAGTTATGAGGTTTGCTAATGCCTCCGACAAGCTATAACTACATACACCTCTCCACATACATTCTTTATCTGTGATAGTGGGATAAGGATTTTCACCTAAAGACTAGAAAAGTGTTGGACTGTCCTCCTCTGCTCCCTCACTATGTGGGTTGCCATGTCTTAACTATTAGGTGGTCATTCCAGTTGCTACTGTGGGTCACCAGGCCCCAGTGTCTTGGTTATTGCTCCCAACTTGTGTTACTGCTTGCCATACCTCATCACCTCCAATTGTTTTCCCCTCCAAATTGCCATAGAATGAAAAGAGAGATGGCAGTCCAGATGTGGAAAAAACAGTAGATGGTTGGCCAAAAAATCCCTCGCTATTTCTTTCTACCACACATGTCCCCTGTACTCCATTCCAGAAGGCTCCTTGGTTTATATCAGTCAAAAGTCTCCTAGTGTCACTATCAAAGATAATTGTGCCTTTTTTTATGGTCAGGCACTAAATGTTTCTAACTGGGGAAAAAATTTACCTCTTCACGATATAGGCCCCTTCATAGGCAGCCAAATCCACACAGGCATAATCTCAGCACATCCTTTAGTCATGAAAACTACCTGGGAGGTCAAGCCAACAAGCATAAATAAATAAACAAAAGAACTGATACCTGGAATCCTAAGTGCTCCACCATATTTTCACAAGCAATGCTAACATGGGTAGACAGTATTACAAATGCACTGTCTCAACCTTTTTAATAAACAAAACATATCCTAAGGCTTCTGCCTGAAGAAGAGGAGGAGTCAGGGTATGCAGACAGCCATACAAATCTGCTACATTCCATCTGCTACAAATGGCAACTACTGAATCTATTTATTCTCTTCAGAGGAACCAAGACCTTACTCCAGATTGTTCTTTTATTTAATAAAAAGGGGCAAAGGACTATAGAGCACTTCTCAACACCCGGAATCTCAACAGATCCATTTAAAAAAAAAAAACCTCCAAGATAGACACCTTAACATCCATGTTAACTGCCATAAACTGATGGTCTGCATGGTATCAGTACATATGAATGAAGCCTATATCCGTATCCCAATTTAATAATCTCACAGATGCTTCCTCGGCAACTTTATTCTCAGAACACCATGTTACCAGTACAACCGTGGCATAGCAGCAGCACTGCAAGTATCTACAAAGCGCTGATAATGTTAATGTCCACTGACAGGAAAGAGTCTGTTTACCCATTCCTGGGTGACTGCTTTATCCAAGTCTCATTGATTGTACCACTGAAGCAATAAGGATGCTCTAGAGCCTAGATTTTGTGACTGAATCAGTTACGTCTTTCCATTGCCAGTCTCTGAGTGTGATGTTACTGCCCTGTACAAAGTTGTTTATTGCAGCAAAGATACAAGAAGCAGAGAAATCTTATCAAAATAGTCAACCTCTCAAAGGAAGCACTCATTAGTACTCTCTTGAGAGCAGTTGTCTCCTTTGTGGTTTTTCTTAGAGGTCCAATGCTCACGTGAGGTTGCTACAGAGTTTTATCCTTCAGGTGTCTCTTATCTGCACCTCAGTGAAGTTGTCTCACACCAGCAGGATTTCCATGGGTTGAAGGATTGCCCAGCAGATCTAGTCCAAAGGAGAGAAAACACAGCTGGTGAGAGCTCAGGACAAACCGGTATAGTTTCAAAGCTCTACTCCCACATCTGAATTTACCTAATGTGCTGACAATGACAGACAGCATGTCAGCCATGTCTTGCATCAACAGACAAAAGGAATATGAACTACAGACCTTCAAAGAGAAGCTTATCTCCTGATGAGGTGAGCAAAGGAGAACCTGCAATCAACTTGTTACCTTCATATCCAAAGCAAAATATGTTATGGCTGACTTGCTTAACTTACAAAACTTCGATCCTCCAGAATGGCACTTACACTCAGCTGTTTCATCTCCTGATAAAGATACTTAGTATCTCAGTTGTAGGTTAGTTTGCTTCCCACCTGAATGACAATGTTTCAGTGTTGTTCTCTTGCCAGAGGGATCACAGGGCCAAGGCAAGATATGCCTCATTACAAAGAACAAGGGATTCTTATATGCCTTATCTCCCTTTTTTTCTTCAAAGAGGCTTTGGTTCTATAATCTTGTTCAAGGACCTGGTTGAGTTTTAATTATTGGTGTTAACACCAGGGTTTCACCTCCACGTGTGCATTAGAAACACATATCTTTTAATTCCTTCAAATAGCCTCAGGTTAGGCCTGACGAAGACTCAGATTCCACAGAACTCAAGGAATTGTCCTTCCATTTTTCCGTCCAGATCCATTGTACTCCAAAGAGAAATTGTGGCATACTTTGAATGACTGCAGAGCTCTCAAAGTATATATTTACCACACAGTATTCATTTTCAGGTAGTTGAGAGAACTAATCTCAGGTGCCTGCAAGTGTAAAAAAAAAAAAAAATCTAACTTCATCTTCAAAAATAGGAGCTCACTCTCAGTGCTGTAGCAGCTTCATGGGCAGATGGAGCATATGCCTCATACAAGAAAATCTGCAGAGTCATCCGCTGGGTCATCCAGTCCTTTCAGATGTTATATGCTCAACATCCAGTTGTCATCTGATGTTGCCTTTAGTAGGTGGATTCTCCCTGCTTTAGATTTTCACTTTCTATTAGAAAACGGTTACCTGTACTTAATTGCATCCAGTTCTTCCTTCTAGCAAGTGGATGCTGCTATAAAAATCCTAATGTCCTAGATCTGTGGACCTCATTATGAATGAGAACAGGAAAATTTGTCATACCTGAAAATTTCCTTTTTGGGGGTCATGAAGTCCACAAATCCAAACCACCCTGAGTAAGCTATTAATCAGGAAAAGACTTTGAATGATTAATTGGCACTCTGTTGATTATTCATTGAATTACTCACTCTCCATGAGGATTGTTCTATTTAGTCTTGCCGCTTAAGTTTGGTTTCTGATATACAGTGGTGCTTAGTATTTCCCTAGGCCTTTAAAGTGTTGACTGGTGGCTTCCTAGAGGTAAAGCCACACCCCTGATATGTTTGCCTCTGCAGCCTGGGAGGCAGACCAGAGTACCCAGTGTCATGGCTCTATGGCCCTCATTATTCCAAGAAAGGAAATTTTCAGGTAAGACATGAATATATAATTTTATAATCAATATTATAAAAAACAAGCACATTTTAGTAGAAGGCATGTCTATTGCAGAGCACCTACTCAGGCTTGTAGTGCCAAAGCTCTTCCTTTCCTGGTCACCAGTAGCAGGTCCCTTAGCTGGAGAGTCAACAAAGAAGACCTAGTGTTTTCCTTCCCCTCTTCTGCAATGTTGAACTGCTCCAGCACCTGCACATGACTATGGCCATTTTTGCTCATAGTAGCCCAAACTGAACCTCCCTTTAAGAGATTTGCAGGGAAGCACATCACAGGGAGACACCACCAGTTCACTCCCCTGGCACACAAAGAAAATAGTTATTCAGAAAAAAAATTTTTTCCGACTCCTTTATATTAGGACTACTCAACACATAGGCTGCATGTGGCCCGCGGCCCATTTGTTTCCAGCCCGTGGTATGGTTTAGGTTTATGCAGGGCTCAATATGCGGCCCGCGGGTGGAATCCTTTGAACATGGCCTCCACTGAGAACACATTCCACAATGGCAAGGCATATCTCAGGCTGGGTGAGCATTGGAAGACGCAAGCGGACGGGCGGCTGGAAAAGATGGGTACAGGGTGTCAGCATTTCTAGCCCCCAGGGAGGAAGTACTGGGATGCCGGGGCATTGTGTGAAAAGCTATTTGCATATATATTTGCATATATATGCAATCACACTTATGTTGTGGCCCTCGGCATGTGCTGTGAGTATCATTGTGGCCCGCAGGGTTTCCAAAGTTGAGTAGCCCTGCTTTATATGGTGTTTGTTCCAGGATTAAGTCAGCTGTGAAATGAAATCCTGGTGTTATGAGAACAGTTATGAGAGGCCTAAAAAACCCTAGAATTTGGGAGGAGGAGAGAATAAGTCTGTGGAGTTTTAAACCAATCTGAAAAGCAACTGAAGGCAGTATGAAAATTACCTAGAAAATCCAATTTTATGCTCCTCACTGAAATAGACAGTTTGGCAGGGACTTAATGTTAATTGATTTAAACCTGCTGTATGTAAAAACTCACTTTTAACTGATGACTCCACAAAGGAACCTCCATAATTAAAGGCATCATCCATGGTTTCTTTAGTATATCACATATTAAATGTGAGAAGTGGCTCTTGCATACTATGGGGCTAGTTTATTTTCAAGCACAAGGGGCATGTCTACACTACAAAGTTAATTCGAACTAATAGACGTTAGTTCGAATTAACTTTGATAGGCGCTACACTAGTGAACTTAATTCGAACTAGCAGAGTGCTTAATTCGAACTCGGTAAACCTCATTCCACAAGGACTAACGCCTAGTTCGAATTAACTAGTTCAAATTAAGGGCTGTGTAGCTGCTTAATTCGAACTAGTGGGAGGCTAGCCCTTCCCAGGTTCCCCTGGTGGCCGCTCTGGCCAACACCAGGGAAACTCTTCTGCCCCCCTCCCGGCCCCGGAGCCCTTAAAGGGGCACGGGCTGGCTACAGTGTTTGTGCCAGTTGCAAGCCTGCCAGCACCCA